CCATAGGTCTGTGTGTACCCTTTTGCAACAAGTCTTGCCTTGTACCTTTCTATACTTCCATCTGCCTTATATTTTACTGTGTAAACCCATCTGCATCCAACTATCTCCTTGCCTTCTGGTAGATCCACAATGTCCCATGTCTGATTCTTAATCAAAGCTGCCATCTCTTCTTGCATAGTTGTCTTCCACTCAAGTTTGGAGAGAGCCTCACTAACACCCTTGGGTATAGACACTGAATCAAGAAAGGAGAGAAAAGCACGGTATGAAGGAGAAAGTCCATTGCAGGATAAGTATTGTAAAATACAATGAGCAGTGAAACTTTCTCTTCCCTTTTCTGAGAGCAATAGGGAGATCAAGGTTATCTGTAACAGAGTTAATAGGATCAATGGGAACTGAAACAGTAGTGGGACCAAGAGGAATACCTGAATCCATGGCAGCTGAATCTGGAGTCTCCAAGGAATCGACGAGAAGTGATGTGAGTTTTGCTGTAGTGGAATCAACCTCCTTGTGAAGTCTCTATCGTAAGTAATGTTGAGAAGCAGAACGCAAAGGAGGTGGCTAGGTAGGTGGCAAGGTAGGTGCCAAAGGGTGGTGGTCAAGCACAGGAGTACACACAGGGACTGGAACTGGGAGAGGAATAGATTGCTGACTCACTTCCCCAAAACACTCCCCCTGAGAAGGATTCTTTGAGAAGAAGTACGTGGATTCAAAAAAGGTGACATCCATGGTAACATACCGGCTCCCAGAGACTGGATCATAGCAACTGTACCCTTTCTGATTCTCTACATATCCAAGGAAGACATACTTCTTTGCCTTGGAATCAAGCTTCGAGCGGTGAGGACCAAGGATATGTGCAAAGCAGACACACCCAAACACCCTGAGAGGAATATGAAACATCTCCCCCTGAGGAAAAAGAAGACTGAATGGGGTGCTGAATCCAAGTATACGAGAGGGCATCCTGTTAATCAGATATACTGCTGTAAGAACTGCATCACCCCAAAACCGAACCGGAACTGTAGATGTGATCATCATGCTTCTTGCAGTCTCAACAATGTGTTTGTTCTTCCTTTCTACAACACCATTCTGCCGTGGACTGTAGGGGCAACCGCTCTGATGGACAACACCATATTCTAACAGATATGAGGCAAGATGTCTTTCAAAATATTCCCTGGCATTGTCAGATYTGADCACMTTTATYCTTGTTCCAAACTGTGTTAGTACCATCTGATGAAATTGCCTCACCAAGGATGGTACATCATCCCGGGATCTCATCATGTAAATCCAAGAGTATCGTGAGAAATCATCAACAAATAAGAGAAAATAGCGATAGCCTCCCATAGAAGGAACATGGTAAGAGCCCCACACATCCGAATGAATAACATCAAAAGAAGAAGAACATCTTTTATTACTAGGCTTCAATGAATGTCTACAATGCTTTCCAAGTTGGCAACCTTCACACTCCAGACTTGACAAACTAACTGACTCAAAAAGTTTTGGAAACAAAAAACTCAAAGAAGAAAATGGTAAATGACCCAAACGATTATGCCAAAGCATAATTTGACTCACAGACCCTGACTCACTATCCCAACTGACATGATGACTCTGATGAGAAGTACATCCAGGAGGTAGATTCCATTCACTTCACGACCACTCCCAATCGTCCTCTTTGAATCCAGATCCTACAAAATACAACGACCAGGAGAAAAAATTACTGAGCAGTTCAAGTTCTTAGTCAAACTACTAACAGATAACAAATTAGTGTTCAATCTGGGAACATGAAGGACA